CCCCGCCCCGCCCCTCCGGCCGAGCCTGGTCCAGCCGTCGGCTTGCCTGCCCGCGCATTCCTCGGCCCCGCTGGCTGCACCGTGTGCCGGCCGGACCTGGCGGAGAACCCACCGCAGCGCGGCCGCACGTGCGCGATCGCCTCCCCCCCCCCCGTCACTCCCCCGCCGGCACCACGCGAGATACGCGGGGCCGCCTGTCCCAGCCGCGAGCCTCCCCAGGGCGCAGGAGCGCGCGCGCGCACACACACACACACACACACAGACCCCGAGGCCGCCTACCATAGGGCGCCTGTCTGGGCCTCCTCCCCGCCATGAACTCCGAGGGCACATTCGGCCAAGGGCCGCACCACCTGCCGATGGGCGGCCAGCACGGCTTGTATTATGCGCCGGCCACGCCCGGCGGGCCGTACGGCGATCCGCTTGACCCGCTTTCCATGATGCAAGGTGCGCATCGCGCGGCCCGGGCCACTGGCCTGCTGGACCGCCCGGCCGGACACCCACACACGCGCGGACCTGGGGCTGACACTTGCGCGTGGCGGTCCTCCGGGGTCGCAGGCCCCGACGGCCAGCGTGGCGCCCCGCCGACCGAGCAGCAGCAGCAGCAGCAGCAGCAGCAGCAGCAGCCCCACGGGCGCATGGTCGTCCAGACGTCCTCCTCGCCGATGCCCAGCGGCCCGGCATATCACCACGCCCTTGCCGGGCCCGGTGGGCACTTTGCCCCGGGGACCGGCGTGTACGACGAGCTGAAGGCCCCGGCCGGGCCTCCCGGCGGCACGGCGCCCGGCCACGGGAAGTCCTCCTCGGCCGACCTGTCCATGACCTTTTCCCCGGTGGACCCGCATGCGACCGGCTATGCCGGGCCCATGTCCGGGCAAATGTACCCCCCGGGCCATTTGGCCTCTTCGCCGTCGGTGGCCGGCCCCGGGGGCTTTGCCCCGCCGCCGGGCGCCGGGCCCATGGTGCGTGTGGTCTCTTCGCGTTGGCGCCCCGACCGCGAGAGCTGCTACCTCCCCCCCCCCCTGTGTCCCTCTGCCTCGCCCCCTTGCCTTACCACTCGCCAGCTGTGTGTCGATGGTTGCCCTGTGTCGCTGCCTGTGTCGCTGCCTGTGTCGCTGCCTGTGTCGCTGCCTGTGTCTGTGTCTTGCCGCCCGAACCCTTGCGCCGGGCCAACACCGCGGCCTGCCTGGCCTCGGGGCTGCCCCTTCTAGGCCCCCCCCCCGCCCCCCCCGGCCTGAGGGCAGCCCCCCGCAATGCTCTCTGTTTCCCCTCGCCCGCCCCCTCACTCACGCACACGCACACGCACACATGCAAGCAGCTCCCCAACAGCATCATGATCCCCGGCGCCCCCGGCGACCACGGCAAGGACGGCGCCCCCGGGCAATCGGGCGGGCCGCCCGGCGTCGGGGGGCCGCCGCCCGCGGCCAATGGCGCCGGGCCGGCCCCCTCCTCACATGGCATCACCATCCAGACGTCCGGCTATGGCGGGCTCATGGCGGCGGCATCGCGCTCGGCGGCCTACCTGCCCCCGGCCGGGGCCCTTCTCCAGGCCGTCGGCCCGGGCTCCGGGCTGGGCCACGGGGCCTTTGTGTCGGCCGGGCCCGGGCCGATCCCCGGGCTGTCCGGGCCGGCGGGGGCGGCCTTTGCGGCCGCGGCCGCCGCCGCCGCCGGCGGCTACACCACCCTCCTGCCGGGGGGCCTGTTCGACCCGATGGCCGGGGTGCCCGGCGGGCCGGGGGTCGTGCGACCCGGCGACCTGGGCGTCATGCCCGGCAGCCTGGCCGACGAGGACTCCACCATGCAGCAGCGCCGGCAGGAGCGCAATCGAGCGGCCGCCCGGCGCAGCCGCGAAAAGAAGAAGGAGTACCTCAGCGAGCTGGAGACCACCAACCAGGCCCTGCTGGCCGGGACGCAGGACCTCCGCCGGCATGTGGAGCGCCTGCAGCGCGAGCTGTGCCGCCTGCACGGGGTCGACTTCGACCCGGACCTCGAGCCGGAGGCCCTGACCCGCCGGCTGCTGGAGCTCGGCAGCGGCCCGGCCGCGGGTAAGGCGGCCGCCCGTCCGGGGGGCCCGGGCCGCGGGGCCACCGGCCGAGCCCCGGCCCCGGCCCCGGTGTCCGTGGCCCTGGCCGCATGCCCGGCGGCGGCCGGCGCCTCGCCCGACAACGCCAGCGCCGGTGAGCAGGCCAGCGCGGCCATGTCGCCGCCGGCCGGCGACCGGGCCCCCCCGCCGGCCCTGGACATGGCCCTGTGCCGGGGCCCGGCGACCGGCGCCCCGGTGGCCGATGGCGGCGGCGGCGACCGGTCGGCCGCCGCCGCCGCCGCCGCGGACCCCGGTGCCGGCAGCTCGGCCCCCGCCTCCGGCCGGGCCTGCGCCATGTCGTCGGGCAGCGGCAGCGGCAGCCCGGACGGCCGGCCGGCCGGCGGGTCGCCCACGGCCACCGAGTATGCCCCGCTGCCGAGTGCAGGCGGCCAGCACCCGGGCCCGCAGCCGCACCATGCGTACTATCCGGCGCTCGGGGCCGAGGGCGATGGCCTGGCCACCGGCCAGGGCGCTCCTCTGGCGCACGAGGCAAGCCAGGGCCACCACCACGCGCACGCGCACGCGCACCACCACGCGCACGCGCACCCGCACCCGCACCACCCCCAGTACCATCCGGACCGTCTGTACCAGTATGCGCATGGGCACCACCTTGTGTCGAGCGACGAGCAGCTCGGGTCCTCCTCCTCGTCGCAACACATGGACCTCGACCGCGGGATGTCCTCCGGGCCGGATGAGCTGACTGCCGGTGCGTGCCCTCGCGTGCCCTTCCCTCCGGGTGCCAGCAGCGTCGCACATGCGTCCCCGCCGGCCGGGGCTCTCCCCCCAGTGGCAGCGGGTCCGAGGGGACCATGCACAGGGGAGGCCCCGCCCGCGCGTGGCCCTGGCGCCCCCCCCCCCCGCCAACAACACGCCGCCTTCCTACTGACAAGCCCCGGTCACCGCGTCGCACCTTTGCCCCCCCCCCCCCCGCCCGGTTTGCTGGGGCCTGCGGCACACACGCACACGCAATTATATGCACCCGCGTGCGCGGCCCTCTTCCTCACCCCGGACCCGGCGCTGCCTCGGCGAAAATCCCCCCACAGGCCTCCCCGGCGGCGTCGCAGCATGGTCCAGCGACGCCGGCCCGGGCGCGGCCATGATCTTCCACGAGCCCGGGCTGGGCCCCCCGGCCACCGGGCCAGGCGCCGGCTGTGCCCAGCCCAGCAGCACCGGCACCGGCACCGGCACCGGCACCGGCACCGGCAACGCCAGCGACACCGCCAACACCCCGGCAAGCACCAACCACACCGGCCCGGAAGCCGGCGCCGAGCAGGCCCACATCTCCCCGCCGTGCGCGGGAAAAGACCTCGGCCCGGGGGCCGGGGGGCTGGCCGAGGCGCCCCCCGGCCTGCCCGGGCCCCAGGCTGACGCGTATGCCCCGGACCCCGGGCCGGAGGCCGATGCCGCCGGGACCCCGGCCATGGCGTGCATGCTCTCCGGGCCGGGCCCCGGCGAGGACGCCCCCCCGGAGCCCGGCCACGATGCCGCCGACCGGGAGCCCCCCGGCCCCGGGGAGCCGGACAACACGACCGGCCGCCAGCCGGCCGACCAGGACCCGCCCGAGGAGCAGGCCGAGCCGGAAGCACCGCAGAGCCCCGGGGAGGAGCCCTGCTCGCCGGGCGGCGCCCCGGGGCACGGGCCCCCGGGCGGGTCCGGCAGCGGGGCCGGCCCGGCCGGCCGCATGCTGAGCCCCATCCCCCGGGGCGCCGGCGGGCCTGGCAGCAGCTGGACCCCGCCCGGCGGCAAGTCCGGCCTGCTGGCCGCGGCCGGCGTGGGCCGGCGGCGCTTCGGCGGCTCCAACCGCAAGGCAGCCACCGGGCTCCCCGCCGGGCGCCTGGCCGTGTGTGACATGGCCCTCTCCCGGGCGCGGTACCCGCCGTCGGCGACCGGCTCGTCCGCCTCGCCCGGCGGCATGGGGCTCCCCTCGGACCCGGCCAGCCCGCTGGTCATGCACCAGCCCCGGGCCGAGGGGGCTGCCAGTCTGGCGGCCACGCCGCCCGGCTCGGGGGCCGATCGCCTGGCCGGCACCGAGCCGGAGCACGGCGCCCCGGCCGGCCCCTCGGCATACTCGGGCCCCGGCCCGGCCGGCGCACCCCCTTCCCGGCCGCCGACGCCACAGCAGCCGCAGCCGCAGCCGCAGCCGCAGCCGCAGCAGCACCACGGGCAAGGCGGCGACCTGGGGGGCAAGCACCACCCGGGGCTCATGGCGGCCGGGCAGCACCCGTACCAGGCACCGGGCGGCGGCCAGCAGGCGGCCCCGGGCCCCTCTTCGCCGGGGCCCGGCAGCGCCCCCGGGTGCGGCACCGCGTCCGGGCCCAAGATCCAGCCCTTGCCGATGGCGGCCCTGACGGCGGCGGCCGCGCACCCGGCCCCCGGCCGGTCGCCAGCCTCCAGCCCGATCGTGCGCTTCCCCCCCGGCGGGGCGGGAGGCGGCCCGGGCGGGCAGCCGCTGGCCGGGGCCCGGCCCCGATCCCTGGGGCCCGGCGCCGGCGCCACCGCCGTCGCCGCCGCCGCCGCCGCCGCCGCCGCCGCCGCCGGGGCCCACCCGGCCGCCCGGTACATGGACGCCCATGGCGGTGGGGTGTTCTTCCCCCTGCAGGAGGACGGGCCCGGGGGGCTCGGCGGCAGCGCCAGCGCCGGCGCCCTCGGGCCAGGGTCCGCCCCCGGGCCCGGCAAGCTGCCCAAGTACCTGTACGGCCTGGATGGCGATGCCCTCGGGGTGGACGATCTGACGCAGAGCGCGCCGGCCGATCTGGCCGGCATCGTCTACCGGGCCCGGATGATGGAGGGGGCCGGGCATGCCGGCGGCAGCGCCCTGGCCACCACCATGACCGCGTCCTCCAGCTCCGGCGCCCTGGCCGACTCGATGGAGGATCTCCGGGCCCCGGCGGGGGGCCGGTCATCCGGGCATGCCTCCGGCGTGGCCACCCCGGTGGACGGGGCTCCATGCGCGGGCCCCGGCGGCGGGCCGCGCCCCGGTCCCGCCGGCGACGAGGGGTACTTCTCGCCGGAGGACCACCTGCACTACCTGCACCGCATGCCCAGCCCGGCCGGCGGCCAACAGCAGCAGCAGCAGCAGCCACCGGGCGTGGGCCCCACCGCCACCACCACCGCCGCCGCCACCACCACCACCACCCCGGGCCCGGCGGGTCACCTCGGCTACCAGCCGCACCACTCGGCCCAGGAGGAGCCCCCCGGGCCCCCGGGCCCCGGCGGCGAGTACTACTTTGGCGCCATGGCAGACGGCGCGACGATGGAGACGCTGCGCTCGGTCCCCGGGGCCGTGCCCGACACCGGAAGGTACTTCTTCCAGGAGGACTCGCTCGAGGGGGGAGGCCCGCCGGACGCGCAGCCCTATCCCCTCCATCCGCACCACCTCCACCACCACCTCCACCAGCCCCACCCCCAGCAGCAGCAGCAGCAGCAGCAGCAGCAGCAGCAGCACTTCCAGCACCCGCACCGGGGTCAGTTCCTCGGCGCGACCGTGGAGGATGCCCAGACGCTGGAGCTGCCCAGCTCGCGGCAGCACCCCCCGCCCGGCCGCGACGACGGGGGCTACCACCACTACCAGCAGCAGCAGCAGCACCACCAACACCACCACCACCACCACCACCACCAACGCCACCACCACCACAATCACCATGAGCAGCTCCATGAGGCACTCCCGGGCCACATGGCAGCCGAGGTGCTTGCCGCCCCCGCGGAGGGGCAGTTCCTCCAGCCCCGTGGCGGCGGGCCCCTGGCCGACGACCCCGGCCCGGCCAACGACCTCCGGGACATCGAGGGGGGCCCCTGGTCGCGGTGGCAGGCGGCCCCCGCCGGCGCGGCCCCCCAGCCCAGCCCCCCCATCGGCCGGGGGGGGGGCACCCTTGGCAGCGGAGGCAATGGTGCGGGCGCCCGGGCGTCCGGCATGATGATGGCCGAGGCGGCCCCGGCGTCGGCCGACATGGTTGCCATCCGCGGCGTCGAGGGCGCCCCGGATGCCGGCGGGTGTGGCGCCGCGCCGGCGCCGCCCCCTTCGGACGGCGGCCAGCACCACCCCTATCATCACCCCCTGGCGCCGGGGGAGAAGGCTGGCCACTTTGGGGCCGGGCTTTCGCCCTCCGGCCCGGCGGGCCTGGCCATGCCCGAGGACCTCCCGGCGCACCACCACCACCACCACCACCAGCAGCAGCAGCGCCACCACCACCACCACCACCACCAATTCCACCAGCCGTACTATGGCCAGCAAGTCCATGCCCCTGGCCAGCACCAGGGCCATCACGGCCTCCACCACATGAAGGACAGCCCGGCGCCGGCCATGACGCCGACCGGGCAGCAGCAGCAGCTGCTGCTGCTGCAGGTGCCTGGCAATGGCGGCGGGGGGCCGGGGGGAAGTTCCTCCTCCGGGACGCCGCGCCCGGCGGTGTCCGCCAGCAGTTCGTGGCAAGACCTCGATGCGGTCATGGCCTCGGCCGCCGAGTAGGGCAAAGTTGAAGCCGACGAGCCGTTGCGCGCATGTGTGTCTGCGCGCGCGCGCGAAAGCGTGCCTTCCTGCCGGCCGCGCCAGGCCGCCGGCGGGACTCACCTGTCCCGGGCTCACGAGGCCAGCAGTCAGCCTCCTCCGCCAAGGCACGGGTGCTGGATCCGAGGGAAAAAAAAGCAAAAAAAAAGAAAAGAAAAAGTGGCCGACCCTATTCCGGGAGGGCAGTGCGTCAAGCGCCCGAAATAGACCGAGCAACAGCGAAAAGCCAGCAGGGCATCGGTGGGCTTGTG